TGTTTTCTTCCACATGTTTTATAGTTTTAGCTACTGTGTTTAGGTTGGTCCATTTTGAATTGATTTTTAAATACAGTGTGATGTAAGGGGTCCAACTTCATTTTTTTGCATGTGACTATCCATTTGTTAAAGAGACTAGTGTTTCTTCTACTGAATAGTCTTGACACCCTTTTTGAAAATCAATTGGCCATAGATTTATGGCTTTATTTCTGGATTCTCAAGTGTATTCCATTGGCATATATGTTTGTCTTTATGCCAGTAGTGCACCGTTTTGATTACTGTCATTTTGAAGAGGCTTTTTTTTTTTAAGATTTTATTTATTTATTTGAGAGAGAGACAGAGAGAGCATGAGCGAGGAGAATTGATTACTGTCATTTTGTAGTACGTTTTAAAACTGCAAAGTGTGACTCCTCCAACTTTGTTCTTTTTCAATATTTTTGAAGTGATCACATGATTTTTATTATTTTGCTTATTAATATGGTAGATAATGCGTGTTCACCTTTGGATATCAAACCAGCCCTGCATCCCTAGAATAAACCTGACTTGATTAGAATGTATAATTCTCATAAACTGCTAAAACTTTGTTATGGATTTTTGTGTTTATGTGCCTGAGAAATATTAGTCTGTAGACTTCTTTGCACATTCTTCATCTTTGCTGTTAGGGTAACACAATGATTTGGGAAGTGTCCCCTTTTCTTCTGTTTTCTGAAGAGATTATGTAGAATTGGTGCTAATTCTTCTTTAAACTATTGGTATAATTCTAGTGAAACTGTCTGAGCCTGGAGTTTTCAATTTCTGGAGGTTTTTTTTATTATGAATTTAATTCCTTTAATAATTATATTGGGCTAATTTTGGTAGTTTGTTCTTTTAGAATAATTGGCTCATTTCATCTAATTTTCAAATTTGCATGGGTAGAGATGTTTATAGTATTTTCTTATTACTCTTTACATGTCTACAGAATCAGTAGTAATATTCCCTTTTTCATTTCAATATTGGTCATTTGTCTCTTCCCTCTTTTCCCTTTGTTAGTCTTTCTAGATGCTTGTCAATTTTATTTTTATTTTTTCCTAAAAACCACCTTTGCCCCATTGGGCTTCATTTTTTTTTTTTTCTGTTTTCAACATAATTTTTTTTTTTTTTTTTTTAAGATTTTATTTATTTATTTGACAGAGAGAGAACACAAGTAGGCAGAGAGGCGGGCAGAGAGAGAGAGGAGGAAGCAGGCTCCCTGCTGAGCAGAGAGCCCGATGTGGGGCTTGATCCCAGGACCCTGAGATCATGACCTAAGCCGAAGGCAGAGGCTTAAACCGCTGAGCCACCCAGGCGCCCCCTTCAATATAATTTCAATAGCAGCATCTATTCTTGATATTCCCTTCTTCTTGTTTGTTTTAGATTTAGATTTATTTTGCTCTTCTTTTCTTGGTTCCTTAGTTGGTAATTCATTGTTTTTAGACTTCTCCCAAATTTCTATTGTAGGCATTTAGTACAGTAAATTTCCCTCTAGCTTTACCTGTGTCCTACAAATTTTGATATATTGTATTTTTGTTTTCATTAAGTTCAATTGTTTTTAAGTAGGCTCCATGCCCAACATGGGGCTTGAACAAATGACCCTGAGATCAAGACCTGAGCTGAGATTGAGAATCAGATGATTAATCAACTGAGCCACCCAGGCATCCCTAGTATTTTTAAAATTTGTCTTGAGACCTCCTCTTTGACGCATAAATTTTTTTAATGTGTTGCTTAGTTCCCAAGTGTTTAGAGATTTTCCTATTGTTTTTCTATTGTTGTTTCCTAATTTGATCCCATTATAGTCAGAGAAATCTCAATTCTTTAAATGTTTATGGATTGTTTTATTGTCCAGAATAAGTTTATCTTGATATATATTCCTTGAGTGCTTGAAAAGAATGCAAATTTTACTTGTTTTTTTTTTTTTTGATGGAGTGTTCTCTAAATGTCAATTAGATCCTGTTAGATGATGATGTTGTTGAATTCTTTGTGTTGATTTTCTATCTAGTTCTATGAGTTGTTGAGAGAGGAAGTTGAAGTCTCCACTATAAATGCGAATTTTTCTATTTCTCCTTTCAGTTCTTTTGATTTTTGCTTCATATGTCATGCAGTTCTGTTGTTTGGTGTGTGCACAATTAGGATAACTATGTCTTCTTGGTGGATTGACCCTTTTATCATTATGTAATGCCCCTTTCTGTCTCTGGTAATTTTCTTTGTTCTGAAGTTCATTTTATCTGCAAATACCAGGGCTACCCCATAACTATTTTTTATTACCATTTACATGATATATCTTTTTCACCTTTTACTTTCAACCTGTTCATATCATTATATTTGAGATGAGCATCTCACAGACAGCATATAGTTGGATCATGTTGTTTTTTCACTCTGCCAACGTTTGTCTTTTAATTGGTAGATTTAAATCATTTTCATTTTTAAAAACATTTTATTTATTTGAGAGAGAGAGCGAGAGAGAGAGAGAGAGAGAGAGCACAAGTAAGGGCAGGGACAGAGGGAGAGGGACAAGCAGACTCCCTGCTGAGCAGGGATTCCAATGCAGGGCTGGTTCCCAGGACCCTGAGATCATGACCTGAGCTGAAGTCAGATGCTTAACCAACTGAGCCACCCAGAGTCCCTGGATCATTTGCGTTTTAATGAACTTACTGGTAGTTAATGCTTAAGTCTACCAATTTATTTTTATCTTGTTTGTTTTGTTTTTTGTTTCTTTATTTTCTTTGTCCAGACTTCCTATAGGTTACTTGAACAGTTTTTGAAATTCCATTTGATGATTCATGTACAATATTTTTGCATGCATCTTTTTGTATGCCATTTTTAGTGGTTACTCTAGGTATTATGTCATATATACATAACCTGTAATAGTCTACTGATGTCAATATTTTACCAGTGTGAGTGATATTTTACCAGTGTGAGTGAAGTATGGAAACCTTACTTCTCTTTCCATCTGCTCTTTACCCTCCCATTTATAATGTAATTATGTTAAATATTTCTTCCACATAACATTTAGAACCACAGCATGCAATGTTATAATTGGTGCTTCAGCTATCAGATATAATTTAGAAAACTTGAAAGAAAGAAAGTCTATTATATTTACCCATATTTTTTTCTTTCCATTTTTCATTCTTCTTTGGTGGTGTCCAAAATTCCCTCTTTGATCACTTCCTTTCTGGTTAGAGAACGTTCTTTATCCATCCTCTTAGGAGTGGTCTGTTACTAACAAATCCTTTGAGTTTTTCTTTATCTCAAAATATCTTGATTTCCCTTCCATACCTGAAGCATATTTTCACTAGGTATAAGATTCTGGGTTGAGATAAAATAAGAGAACTCTCTTATTTCAGCACTTATTTAGATCTTCTGTTTTAGCTGACTTCCTCTGACAATGCTTTGGCAGGGAACAGGGTCACCATCTCATTTCTACCAGGTTCCCCACTTAGCCTTCATTGACACCAAGGAGGTTGGGGTGCCTCATTACTGCTGGGTAGTAGTGAGAATTCTAGCTCCCTCCTAGGCTTTTACTGATACCATCCTGGCTGGGATCGGTAGTAGTGCCTCATCACTGTTCCCCATGTGATCCCCACTGACACTGACAATGATGGGATGTGGACTCATTACCACTATGCAGGAGCAAAGGTCCTGACTCTCTATTAGGCCTCCTCCTATACTACCTTTTTGGGGACAGGGAGAAATAAATCATAACTGCCGGGTTGGGGTAGAGTCTAGGTCCCCACTTGGCCTCTGATGTTGGGACTTGATGGGACCACACTTTTTCCTGTGGTGTTTAGCTGAATTAGAGCAGTTCTTGTATAAACATGTTCTGCCTCTGTGGGCTGTCCCTTTTTTGGTCCTTTAGCTAGAGAGAGTAAGCTTTTGTTGGGGAATTTTCGTCAGTGTCTATTGTCATTTTGGGGTTGCCAGCTTCTTCAGGTCCGTGTCTGAGATCTATGAGGCAAAAACCCAGAGAACTCACCACCACATTGTTCCTCAGGTCCCAAGGTCCCTTCGTCTCTCCACTTTCCAGGTCTTCTTATGTTGGTTTTATATATAATGTCCAGAGGTTTTAGTTGTACTCAGTGGGAAAATGGGAAGAGTACATTCCCATTTTCCCAAAGGCAGAAGTCTGGATGTGGACAATTTTGTGCCCGATTCTATACTGCCAAGAGGATTTCCAAGAAGGAGATCTTCCCTCATATATGAATGCCTTAACAGAGCTCTTATTTCATGTCTCTATCATGAAAGACAAAAAAAAGAAACAAAATAAAATGAAAAAAAAAAAAGCTTTACTTGGTTTAGCACAGGTCTGCTTATCTGTCATGGCAGGTGTGCACTGGAGTAGACATGTCACCATCTGCTTGGTTAGTTTTGGGTAAACCAGTACACCAGAGTTTCATGAGCCCCTTCCAACACCCACTGCTTCCTTCCACTGACTGTCAGGTTATAAACTGTTAGTCAGCTAACTTGGCTGGGTGCTAATGGGGCCAGAGTTTGGAGCTGCTCCTTCAGTGCACCATAAGTCTTACTCTAGGAGAGTGGAAGGGGCCTTAAGCCATCACCTGATCCAACCACCATGGTTTTCACATAAGAAAATTGTGTCAGAGAACAGAAGAGTCTTTCCCCAGATCTCACTGCATACCACATGCACAAAAAAGCCAGACCTAAGATCCTCATTCCCTGCCTTTAAGCCTAGTGTTATTTTAGTTACGTCAGGCTGCTTCTCCACCCATCCTTCCACTCTCCAGTGAATTCCGCTCTGCCTCATAGCCAGGGACTGCCATCTCATCCCAGCCAACTGCTTCACAGAAGTGCCCCCATCCCTGGGGGTGGGAAGGGGTTCAATGAGGGGGGTGGGGTGGGGAGAGAGACATGAAAGGGAATGTGGCTGACTCCACCCAAACCTGTCCTCAGAGTGAAAGTCTGTGATTCTCGCGGTCGATGGTCTCATCTTCATATCTGAAAGACAGTGTACTTTTTGTCTCCCTAAGCCCTGTGTCTAGGTCGTTTGGGAAGAGCCTTGGAGAGTCAAGAATAAAATTGCAGGTCAAACAATGGATGAATGGAAAAGTCGGCTTGTAATCAAGAGCATGGTTCCCCATTTCGGCACGGTGGGAAATCGTCAGGAGCCCAGAAAGCTCCAGGAATCGGTCAGACAATGGGCTATTGGGGGGAGGGGGCTGTTGAATGCTTCTTATCTTAAACTTGAATATGAGATGTGTTATTGAAATTCTCTGTGCAAACTTGTTGGCAGGGAACCAACCCAAAATATAAGGAACTAGAATCTGACCTAGAAAAGATGTAGGAGATGAGCTGACCTTGCCCCTTACGAATTTCTGGAAGAGCAGGAAATACGGTCCAAGGATCCATCTCGACTCCCAGTCTAGTGAGCTCTGCCCTGCACCCCTTCAACTAGAAAGAAAGGAAGAGCATGAGGGAAGTAAAGCCTTCTTTTTCTCTTAACAGAAACAAGGAATGTGGAACTGACAGACACTAAATAATATTGCGTTCACTTCCTAGTACCACTGAGAACAGGAAGCCAGTGAATAGAGCACAAAAAGAGATTCCCATTCAAACTCTCTGACTCTGGTGTCCTTTTAAAAGCCCACTTGACAAATTTCACCTTTCCTTCCTTGGAACCGAGACCTCATCTATGTGTCTGAAACTAAGGGCTAAGGCTTCCAGCAGTAGTTCTAGGAGCCAGGACAAAAGAAGGGATCACGAGAGCTGCTGGTTAGTTGAATTTGACATTAAAAGCCTGCAACATCACCAGTCTACCAAGATTAGCTCCATTAGTAGGAGTTGCAGCAAACACAATGGCTGTTATCTCGGTGTATTGGGTCCACAGAGGAGAGGCTTACCTAATCTGTGAAATTAATACAGCAGAGAGGAAATGGCTCTTATAGAGCCGTGGGTCTGCTTCCTTCCTGTTCAGAGAACTGGGAGCTCGGGGCTCTGAGGTAATGCCATTTCACATAACTAGAGGGCCTGGCCTCTCCCATCCCAAGGGCGATCCACAAACGTAAGTGCACAGGTGTGGGGGGAGATTGTTGAAATCTCACTTCTCTGTTTCTCCTCAATGTCTACGTGCTCAACTGGATACCGCAGCCTCAGTATACGTAAACATTTACAGACTTGGACGGCCGGGCTCCGCTCACGGAGATGGCGGTCAGATGGGATGGCAGACATGGAGCCATTCCTTGGCCAGCCTCCCATCCTCCACATTGCCAGCCCTTCAGGCAGCCTCTCTTAGAAGGCAGTGTCTAACCTCCAGTGGAATTACCCTTTAGATTTCTTGCTTCTCTTTTATGGTTGACAACTGAGTCAGTGAAGGAAAACCTCTCGGTGATGCATCTAGAGTCCAGATGCATTTGGGCTTGACTTCCAATTTCTCCTCTGTTTCACACTGGGTTTGGCTCCTAGGAGGAATGAGTGGGCTGTAGTCTAAGGGTCCTCTTCCCCTTCCCCTCCTGAGCCCCACCAACACCCTTTAAAAGAGTGTGACTGGCAAGCAACTGTTTTGGTTTTGATCCGTGTAGACCTCAATGCTGGAAGGGTTTTCTTAGAATAGGCCCTTGGAGTGGCCATCCGTGCCTTCACTTGGGAGAAGTTGCCATTGCTTGCACCATTTCTAGGCTTTGCATCTCTTTGCAGATGGTCTTGTAGAGCCCTTTGTAGGCCATGCCAAAAATTCACATTTATTGCTTGAGAGTCACACCTTGGACTTGATCAAAATCAGTCCTTCTTCCTCCATGCCACTCTTTGTTCTCTGCCTTGGCTCTGAGTGACCTGTTTCCAAAATTCTAAGTTGTCCTAGAAGACCAAGGATTTGCCCCAGTTGAGGGGATCCAAAAAAAATAGACCTCAGTCTCCAAAAGCAACTTTCCCAGATGAGTCCCCTTTGCAGTAAAAAGCACATGTGTCTTCTTGGAAGATGCTTGTGGTCTCTGAAGGGGATGATACGGAAGGAGCCCGCTTCTCCGGGTGGGCCTGCAGGGCTTGCATAGAGGCTGGCCAAGGCGGGTGCTGCTGCCACCATCAGCCAGCATTGAGGGCATGTCTTGGTTTGAGCACAGCTAGATGTTCATGGTCATTAAATCTCTGCAGCCTCGGGAAAATACCCGGTGCTAACACAGAGCTCGGCTGCACCCCCCGAGGATCTCAGCAGCCTGGGTGTTTGTGGTCTGAGGGACAGAGATGGACAGATCAGATGCAGAAGGGCCTGCCGGGTCACCAGGAAACCTGCTCACAGACAAGTGATTGCAAGAATGGGAGCGGCTTGCCTCTGTCACGTGGAGATCTGATTGAGACGCTCATGAGGGGCTTCTCTCGTCCTTTCCCAAAACACAAACTAACAACAACAACAAAAACATATTTTAAGTAAGGTCTGTTCATAAAATCCTATCAGTCTCAAAGAAGAAATCTTTTAAATAGCCCGGAACTATTTCTTGTGAACAGTTGAGAGCCCCCTTACAGGAAATATACATCCTAAGACCGTCCTAAGGGCTCAAGACACCGGGATTCTAGTCTTGCTTCTGCTACTAAATAGCTCTGGGACTTTGTCCATCCTTTTCCCTCCCCAAGGACAAAAGTCAAATGAACCAGAAATAAGACTTTGTGCCAAGCATTTGCGGAGCAGTATCTCCCGTAACCCGTAGGATAATCCCGAGATCAAAACCAACCGCTCCCTATTACTACTACTGCTGCTGCTGCTGCTTCCTCTACTCCTCCTCCTTTTCCTCCTCCTCCTCCTCCTCCTCTTCACCTCTAAATGCAAGTGGGGCTGAGCAAGGAAGAGAGAGGAGCCCTGTGTGGAACAGGAGAAGATACAGATTGGGATGGCTACAAAAATACTGGCTCCATCCTTTAGACTAGTGTCCCTCTTCTTTAGACTAGTGACCTTAGAAATATCCAGTAAGAGAAGGACGTTCACCTCCTGCTGTACCGCGTGAGCAGGGTTCAGAAATTTTATCCATCGTCCTTGGAGGCACCTCTCTTTCCTTGTGAAAGAGTACAGGACTCAGTAAGGAGACCTGAGACTAGCGTTTTGTGAGACCTTGAGCATGTCCATTTCCTCTTGAGGTCAGAGAGTCTGTCTCTGGCCTCTCCCCCACCCCATTTCCAGGGTCTGTTCTGTGTGCCCAGCCCCATGCCAGACCCTGGGCTCTGGCAGTTCCCAGTCGAGGCGCGGACTGTTCCTGGGCTTCCTCCCCCAGGAACAGATCAGTCCTACTCTGCAGTTCTACTTATCCTACCCTGAAACTGGGAGGAGAGAATTGAGTGGCTCTTTCACACAAGCTACTTCATTATACATTAGCTCCTCTGCCCCCGCAGGGTGGGGAAGAGGATTTGTATTTCCACTTCACCAACGCAGAGACTGAGGCTGGCAGAAGACGGGGAGTCTACGGGGAGTCTCCCAGCGTTACAGTCAGTAGGTTGGAAATTCAGATCTCAGCTCCAGGTGCCCTGACTTGGAAGGTCATCTTCCTTTGCTGCTTCCCATTCTCAGATTAGGAACCCAGAGTGTTAGGACCTTCTGTGGACTGGGCATGACTTTTGGGGCTCAGGCTCGAGCAGCGGACCAGAGTCCCAGGTGACCTGGAGATTTCATCCCAGTGGCAGAGACAGCCTGTAAACAGTGGTAGAATGGATGCATCTTTTATACCATCCTGGTGACTCCCTGGAAACTTCTGACCGGCCCTGTCTACAGCCCAGCCTGTGTGCAATGAGCCAGCTGATTAAAAACCTTACAGGGAGGTAGGGACAGCCAGCCAGAACCTGGGCCAGTGTGCCCCACTTCGTGCAGGCTGTGGTCAGGAGCAGGTCTGGCCCCAGGAGAGGGGAGGGATGTGTCTGGCCCCTCTTCCAGAACACAGGGGATCCAGAAGACCGACTCATCAGGTCGGCAGCTGTCCCTAACACTTACCGAGAATCTTGCAGGAGTGTTTGGGCTTAGGTCCACACTAGTAAAATAGGGTCACTAAGCCGACCTCTGCCCACATCAGGGTTTCTGGGATGACGATGACCAAGATGTGGATATGAACGCAGTCTAAAACCCACAAGGCATTACTGCTGTTTGCACTTTTTTTTTTTTAAATGATCAGAGAATGGCATTGGCTCAGAAGGCAGTGGGAAGTGTGTCCTTGGAGCTCAGGTAGAAACACACAGGACCCCTGAGGACACCTCGGTCTCTGCGCTGTGGCTCTGAGCATTCTGGGTCAAGGCCTGCAGTGCGTATGCGCCTTTCTATTTTGGGGATCCTCCCCATGGAGCACGCAGCTGCTCGCTCCCTTTTCCCCCTCCTCCTCCTCCTGCAGGAAGGGACCTTTCCTGCTTCAGACATTCAGCCAGGGCGGCCACTAGGCAGAGGCCTGGCCTGAAGACCAATCCTTCCTGCCAGGGCCAAGCACTGCTCAGTTTGCTGGACACTGCTGGGCGCCACATCTGGGTCCTGCCTGGGTAGCCCAGTTCAGCAAACTAGTGACCTGAAAACCGCAGTCTGTTTGAAAGGGAGGGTGCCGGGAGCGAGCTTTGTTTGGCAGCTGGCTTCTGCTGGCATCTGGGAGCTCAGTCCTGCCCTGCCTGCCTTTCTGCCTGGCCCCTGGCCCCTGGCTTCCTTGACTTTAGGCCCAAGGTGACAGGTGTCTGGAGGTGGAGCTTCCTGGGGAGGAGAGTAGACTCTGTCGGACCCCAGGCCAGGGCAGTGGAAGAGCCCAGCTGAGCTGCAGCCCGAGGCATACCCCCCATCTATGGTATGTGCCACCTGGGGACAAGCCCTGAAGATGAGGGCCTGGGGATCCCCGAAGTCCGAGCTGGCCTGTGTTGGCTGAGGCTTCTTGCTTTTGCTGCAAATCTCCAGCTGGAGAACTCAATAGAACTGGGCTTTCAGACAGATATTTGGGTCAGGTGCTGCCCCTGGGGTGCCAAGTTCCAGACTTCATGAGGGAATGGGGGAAGCAGGTGCTTCTAGGCTTGGGCTACAGATTCTGCAGTCGGCATAGAATAATTTGTTAGCGCCCTTCCTTCTCCCCCTCGCCTTTCTTTCTCCTCCTCTTCCTTCCTGCCTTTTCTTTTTCCTCCTCATCTCCCCCTCCTTCTCACCAGATTTCCAACCCCCCAAATACCAAAGTTAGAAAAGCAGCCACGAGCC